GAGAAAGATAGTTGATGGCTAAAATTAGCTGGGAGCTTAAATTCCTATTCCGAAAGGTAAAAGGTAAAACACTTGTTCACATGTCATATCATGGTGCCAGATTTTTCTGTGTTCAGATTTTTAAGTAATTTAACTTTGCCACTGCAGTCTTATGCATAATATGTAGATCCATGAAGGAGGCTAATGAGTTGATAGATGTTTTTAAAGAGATAGATCATAAACAAGAATGTACTGTAAACATATTAACATTTCTAAGACCTAAATTAATTTATTGAATCACTCCTCTCCATGACTGTAGGACTTGACACTATGAATACAAACAGAGTTAAAGAAGTTCTTCAATGATAAAAATGATTGTATTCAAAAATTTCTAGAAGGATCAGTTGGAGACAACTATAAAGAGTACAAACTATTCTTATCCATCATAAAACTTGAAGAAGTCTGAAGGTTAGAAAAGTGTTTCATATATTATGCTGATGAATAATTTTCTTAATGTACCAATTCATAAGGGAGTGATAATTTCCTTTGTAGTCAAAGTAGGCATATGTCTAGAGACACAGTGTGTTTAACTCCAATTCTAGGTGGTATATTTTAGTGCTGTTTTCTGTGGACATTTATAGGTGATATTATGTTTATTGATTAAATGGTAAAAGGACCATATAGTTTCCTATGGTGGCCTTTTATGTATGGCACAAATGCCCTACTCAGTTACTGAAACTAGTACACTATTTGGTTCTTAGTTGTTACTACAAACTTGTATAGAAGTTGATGGTAACTTCATTTACATAAAACAGGACAGTACAGCTATTGATATTCTTAATATCAAAGTATCAAGGATGCACTGTCTGAACAGCATAAATTCATGTCATCACACATCAAAGTGAGTTGGAATGCATTGATAGCTCTGTACTGCCTTTGCTGCTGCTTCGCTACTGCAATTGCAATTACTTTCTCCTGTTTGTATTATGATACTATTAATATAGTCACCACAGTTACTGTCTTCCAGACATTATTACATATTCTTTGTGTCTCACATGATTTAACACATTTCATTCTCACAGCAACTCAATAAAACCAGTTTGTGTCAAGTCAGTGCCAACTCAGTACAACTTTGTTGTTAAGTGCTGTCAAGTCACTTCTGACTCATGGCGACCCTATTTAGGGTTTCCAAGGAGCAGCTGGTGGGTTTGAGCTTCTGACCTTGTGATTCACAGTCCGGTGATGATCCCACAGCACCATACCAGGAGTGTACGTTACTTGTGTCAAAATAGAATTGTGCTCCCTAAGGCTTTTGATGGCTGACTTTTTGAAAATAAATGTCCAGGCCTTTTTTCTAAGGTAATATTATCATCTTCATTTTCCAGTTAAGGGAACTGAGTCTTAGAAAGGAAAAGTAGTTTGCCTAATGCCATGGAGAGATGGTGTTTGTTGACCCAGGCAGTCATCCTTTATAATACAGAGTACTGATGTCAGTTTTCGTTGTTGTGGTCTTGCTTTTTTTTTTCCAAGTTAAGAAACATATAGGGCAGTGAGGGGATTAGTCTGCAAAATAACATGCAATCTTAGTCCATTTGCTTCATATTACTTCTCAGAGGTACCACTGGGCTCTGCCCTATGCCAAACTTGCTGCTCCACTCATAAGCCAATGGAACATAGATACAGACACATACAGATTGGAATTCACAGCACAAGAAGCACTCTGTTGGGATGGTGAAACGTGCCGTATGAGTTGTATCTTGAAGAAATCTCTGGTTCAACAGGAACGAATAGTATGTCAGACAGAGGTTAATACAAAGGCAGAGAGATTTTGTTCTGCAGGAGCTCAGGAAGTAGGGGAGACATGCTATGAGGCTGAATCACATTCTTTCTGTAAATGCATTGTATACTTAACACAGAGAGAGCATATCTGTGCTTCTGTGCTTTGAGAAGGCTTGTCTTTAGGAACAAGAGGAAAGTCTGTGATGAGAATGAGGGATATGTGAGAAATTTTTAAGACAGAAGAAATTACCTCATAATTGATTAGATGCAGGGAGAGAGCAGCAAACGATAGTACCAGCATTTCTGGCTTGGACATTGGAAGACTGTTGAGGCTTTCATCTGAGAAAAAGCATTACAGGAAGTGGTACAAATTTGAGGTATGAATATCGTGAACATGTAACAGTAGAAATGATCATAGGACATCTAGATGGAGATATAAAAGTACTCATCCAATTATATTGTATTTTTTATCATGTGTATCTTACCTATAGACTTGAGCTCAACAAGGAAAGGACTTTTTACCTCATTCATTTGTCCTTTTATCTGTACTATTCTTTCCCATTTCTTAGCATGCTGTAAGAGTGAAAAATATTGTAGGATGAATGAGTCAGTGAGTGATTGAATAAATTAATGAATGAATAGTTGAAGCAAAGGGAAAAAAATGAAATGGGCAAACGCTTAATAGATGTATAAGGAATTTATTAGCAGAGGTATCTTTTAGCAGAAGAATTAAATTGTTTTCATTGTTGTGAGTGCTATCCAGTCAATTCTAACACACAGAGACCCATGTAAAAGAGGAAAACGGGAGAGTAAAACCATAGGTTTTCCTGTCGGTTAATCTTTATGGAAACACATAGCCAGGTCTTTCTACCAATGAAAAGCTGTTGAGTTCAAACCACCAACCTTTCCATTAGCAACCGAGCACTTAAGCATTACACCACCAGGACTCCTTGTTAAATTGTTAAGTGCCGTTTAATTAATTAGCCCCTGTAGTGTAGTGGTTACGAATTGGGCTGCGAACCGCAAAGTTAACAGTTCGAAACTACCAGCTGCTACGAGGGAGAAAGATGAGGATTTCTGCCCCTGTAAAGATTTACAGCCTCGGAAACCCTGTACAAGGTCGCTGTGAGTCGGAACCAATTCCACGGCACATAACCACCAACAACCACTACCATAGTTTCCAAGAAGCATCTGGGGGGTTTGAACTGCCAGCCTTTTGTTTGCTGTCCTGTACTGACTCCTTAGAGGAGTTAAATATGTATCCTTAGAAACTTGACTTTAGGATGATGTATTGCTATTACTGTGAAACTTAGACTGCAGTCAACATATTGTTATTTTTGTGAAGTGCTGTCATGTCAATTACGACCCATAGCGACCCTGTATAGGGTTTCCAAGAAGCCATTGGTGAGCTTGAACCACCGACCTTGTAGTGCAAATGACTTTGCAGTCTGATGCATTAGCCCACAGCGCCACACCAGGACTCCAGTCAACATATGAATGACTTAAAATGAAAATGTACATTAATGAATTTATATATTTTTAATTTCTGGGTCCAGAATGGTTACAGTCTTCATCATTGAATTTTCTGGATAACTAAAGTAATTTTGAATATGAAAATACACTCTTATCCTGATCATGTAACTAGTTTTATTTTCTAACTTTTATCTCACTAATATTTCAAAAATATTTCTTTTCTGAGGACTTACTTAAATTAAATATATTTTCTTAGCTAATTGTAAGTGTGCCACAGCTCACAAGCAGTGAATTCTCTTATATTTCATAATTCCGTATTGTTTTTTCTCCCAATACTTTTAGTGAGATAAAGTTAAGTGCCTGCCTCAGGAAGGCCATAATTAATGAAACAATATAACAAAAAAAGCAGTTTAAATTACCATAGGCAAACCAGTAATGGTTCATATCTGTTAGATAAATTTCTATCTAAATCTTACAAAAAGGAATAAAAAAATAATCTTTCATGTAAAAATTACAGTGTTCTCTATCCATCTACATAATGACTGTCCTTTGAGAATTGCTTATATGTCTGAAATATGTAAAGTACTGGGACTAGGTAGATCACTTGCCATTAAGTATTTTTCAGTTTGGTGAAATGTTTTGTTCAAATTTTATTGAGTTTAGGAATGCAATGGGAATATTAACAATAAGAGTTTCTTCAGTCTCAGCTATTCTGTGTCCTGTAGGGTCACTGTGGGGATTGACTCATCAGCAGTGGGTTTGGATTTGGGTTTTAGTCTCAACTCCAGAAAGTTTGATTCAATAGTTCTGAGTAGGCTTTTGGGAATTAGCATTTACAAAGAGTCCCAGGTGATTTGGAGACTTTACAAAAGCAAAAGGTGATATCCTAAAATAATCCTAGATTGCGTTTAAAACTGGAATGGAATTTGTCAAGACCAATCAATGCAGGATGTTAGTGTTTATTGGAAAATTGGTCAAATATCTTAAGTAAATAAAAACCATTATTTAATTGTTTCATGAAGATATTCTTATATTCACAAAATATTAGCTGATTTATCACATACAAGATGTAAACTATTTCATTTGTCTTTGGATAGTCATTTCTATATTCAATTCTTATTATTTAAGGAGAGTATGAATTTTAAGTAGCTGGTGAAATACAGATAGATTGATTCTTTTATTCTTTAATTTCTGATTCTTGTAGTGTCATAAAGGTCCTGCATTAACTTTATAAATGTTAATGGGTATAATAAATATAAATAGAATTTTCTGATACATTAAGAAAAAGTACTCAAATTAATGAATACTTTTTCATTAGACAGGATGTAGGAATACATAGAAAACATGGCGAAGGTCAAATGGGTCCCTTTAAAAACATTATACATATATGTATAATTGTAAGGTCTGTTTGAACCACAAGGTTGTCAGTTCAAACTCACCAGCAGCTCCTTGGAACCTCTATACAGGGTCACTATGAGTCGAAACAGACACTTGTTTTTAAGTGCCATAGTATTAAGTTTCCGAGTCTGTAAATCTTTACTGGAGCAGAAAGCCTCATCTTTATCCCACAGAGAGGCTAGTAGGCTTGAACTGGCTACCTTGTGGTTCACAGTCTAGTGTTTATTTCGAATTTCAGCAAAATTTCAGCAAAATATCCCTAAGTTTCCCTTTTTGATCATCACAGTCTAAGGTTGATTTCTTAACTGATTTTCTTTTGAAATGTTTGATTAATGTTTATGTTAATTAACTGGAAATATTTATTCTCACAGCTGGATGAAGAAGCCTCGATGTGGTGTACCTGACCAAACAAGAGGTAGCTCCAAATTTAATATTCGTCGAAAACGATATGCATTAACAGGACAAAAGTGGCAGCACAAGCACATCACTTATAGGTATGACAATTAATGATGAATTAGCCTCTCTTTCTATTTTGTTCACTGATAGATATTTTAACATTATTTAGGTATCCACTTGTGCTGGGTTAATATAGAATAAATATTAACATATAAGGCTATAATGCTAAGTAAATAAGGTACTTAAAACTCTACAGTTGAGAAGAGAATTAGTTCTTCATTTACAGAATTTGTAAAAGATCTTTGAGACATTGGAATTTTTTGTAAAACAGACTTTCTAGCTTATGGAATGAATGCCAATATGGTGAGGGACTTTGAGATGAGCTACATATATTCTAACATAATACATTCTTTGGCAGGTATCTTATTCTAAAATAAATTGTAAGTAATATTTAAATAATCTCCATTTAAAGAAAAAACCTCTTTTAATCTATTCCTTAACTTATAGTCACAGTCTACCATTGTATGGTGTGTTTTTTTTTTTTTTTTTTTGAAGCAAGTGGGTCATCTTTTCTTGTTTAACATTAAATGAAGGATACTTAAGGTGTATGAGGGTCTTCCAGGGTGGTGTGACAATTGCTATTTATGGAGATGTTTATATTTATTCATTTATTCACTACACTACTGTTTATTGCATCTCAGTATAAACAAAGAACATTGTTAAGCATTAGGGATAGAACATTTAATGAAACATTGATGCACTTTCTATCCTCATGTGTACAGTTATGTGGAGAAGTTGAACAATCATAAATGCGATGACAATTGTAAGAGGGGAAGAAGAGGAAGCAATAGGGATGTAAACCAGGAGCATCCAACCACTCTCTACAAAACCAAAGAATTCACCTTTTATTTAAGATTCAGAGGGTGAGAAAGAACTGGTTCAAACAAGGGGCAAAACAAGAGGGAGAATACTTCGGCAAAAGAATAGTATGTTAGTAGCTGTCTTGATCATATCACATGAATAGAATGTACAATTTTATAATTCTCATTCTTTGTATAAGTAGTCATATAAATATGCTTAAAGATAAAATTAAAAAGCTAATATATTCATGTTTGCCATGTATACAGACTGCTATGTGCCATTTGAATTTATTTGGAAAAGTTTTTCCATCTAACCTTGCATCACCATGCTACCCAAGATTATTATCATATAGTACTTACATACTTCGAGTATTTCTGAAGATTAGGAAAATAAAAAAGAAGGCAACTTTAAAAAAGAAGGCAACTTTACTCTGAGACCACATAGTGGGTATTCACCATTATTTAAATTTGATGGTTACATTTTATATGTTCTGGACTTCCAAAAAAACTCCCAAAAAACAGCAACAAGGAATCTATTATACTAATAAATAAATATGAAAGCAATGAAAAAATATCCCATAACCATTGTCAATTTTGACCCCTAGCAACCATAAAGGACAGAGTATAAGAGCACCATATGTATTCTGAGGCTGTTGGTCTTTACAAACTCAGACAGCTTCGTCTCTCTCCCACAGAGAAGCTAGAAGCTGGTGGGTTTGGATTTTTTAGTCTGAAACCTAATAGTTAAACCACTTCTCTTTTTCCAATAAATGGAGCATTTATGTTCCTTTTCCAACATGCCTTCTATCACCAAGTGAATTAGTCATCAAATAATGCTTAGTGAGCTGAGAAATTGTATAGACCTTAAAAAACATTTGTAGATTTTGATTAAAAATGATGGAAAGGAATTGCTTTTCCGGCCAGATGGCAGAGTAGACATTCTGATCCACTCTCCTAATTAAATGCTAAATGAGCTATATTAAAATACACAAAATAAAATATATTTTAAAATGCACTTTTGAGCTGAAACAAAAATGATGGCATCTACAAAGTTCAAAAGGCAAAGGAAATCAGGCCACTTAGGAACTGAATATATAGACCAGGTGTAGCGACACTGAGCTTCCATCTTGCAGTAGTGTAGAGCATTCTAGGAGAAATTCCATGTATTCACTTTGGTAGATACAAACCAAAACCCAACAAACCAGCCATTCAAGGAAATTTAACATCTTTTTTTATGATAACCAAAAATATGAGCAAAGAATGACAAGTCCTTAATTTGAAAGCAAGTTTCTAAAATATTAAAAACTGTATTTTGTTATATATTTCTCATGTAATAAATATGAAATGATAAAAAAATCTTTGAAGAAAAATAAAAATACATACTTTTTAACCACTATTTCTATTTACCTGCATTGTTATGGTTAAATACCGTCAAGTAAGTTCAACTCATTTTATTGTTGTTGTTAAGCATTATTGAGTCTGTTCTGATCCATTGCAACCTTGTATAGGATTTCTGAGGAGCAGCTGGTAAGCTTGAACTGCTGACCTTGCAGTCGGGTGCTTGTCTTACAGTGCCACACCAATAATCATGTGCCAGCATTATATAACTAATTATAATGGTAAGGAAAGAAAAAGACATGAAAGGTACAAGAATTTATAAAGAAGAAAAAAATTGATATTAGTCTCAGTTTATATCATCATCAGTCAATATTGGAAACCCATAAAATGTGTCTTGAATTTTTTTTTTTTATTAAAAAGAATAAGAGAGGTGGCAAGATGGAGGGTTATGCAGGAACACTACACAGACCCTATACAATAAAGATATGGAGAATCAAATGAGACAGATGCAGATGATAGTCCTGGAACTATGAGTTTCAGATGAAGGGGTAGAGAAGTGTATTGAATGCTTGCTAGGAAAGGAAACTAAATGGACATGACACACAAAGAAAACAGGTGATCTGTGCTGACTGGTCAGGTGCAGTATGGCCATCTTGACATTTTTTAAGTGGCTTTACAGACAGACAGTGACTTGGTGGTACAAAGGCATACTGTTGACTGGCGAAGAAAAAAGTACAATTTTTTTCTTGTTCCTCACATTCCCATGGTCACAACCAGAGGTGTGGCCAACCCTGTACTAACCCTTACTACAAGAGAGAGCTGCTGACCAACCACAAACACAAAGAGACAGGCAGACAGGTGACCTCTGCCAGCTAGCCAGGTACAGCTCTGTCAGCTTGAACTTTTGTGGGCATCTTTGAAGGCAGAGAGTGGCTTGACTGTGCAGACACATACTGCTTATTGGCGGAGAGGAAGACGTCTTTTTTTTGTTGTTCTCCAAGTTCCCCTAAAGATCAGAAGCATACTCCCAGCAAAGTTCTTGCTCTCAGACTGGTTGAAGCCACCTGGTGGGAACTGTGCATTTGTGAGATATATCAAAGTGAGTTGGAACATATCTACACCGACCCCAGTACCTGGATTCAGGTGAGACCTACTTCAGATGTGCAGAGCCAGTTCTGGCCAGCTCTGGATTAGCAGGAACTCTTGCACTTTGATGCCCTGGGTTAGAAAAGACCCTGATCTCGATTGCTTTGGGGTCTGCACAAATGACGTCAGGATTGGATGCTCAAAACAGAAAACACCTAGGCCTATTGGGACTCCATGTGGCTTGGGGGCCATCTCATCCCTTGCCCGCTTACTGCATTAGCCCCTTAACTGAAAAGAACTGCCTAAGATCTCTCCTTTCTGGGTATGACACCTGGCCGGTTTATTTCCTTTCATTGTATTTGTTTATTTTTTGTCCACTCCTTCCTCTTTTTACCTTCCCTTGTTCTTTATACTTTCTATCTACACTTTCATTTTCTTTTCTTCTGTTTCTTTTTCCTCTGACTTCTTTCTATTTTTATTTTTTTGTTCTTGGTTTTTCTTTCCTACTACTCTCTGGTTTCTCTCTCTCTCTCTCTTTTTTTTTTAAATCCATCTCCCTTATAGTGTTTAGTGCTTTTTCTTTCTTTTTATTTTTCTCATCTGTGTTTTGTTATTTTTTCCCCTCTTTTCTCTTTTAATTATAGTATTCATTTTCTGAGGTCACTGAAAACTCTATGACTAGCAGAGAAACATTGTCAGATACAGGACCGGAAGGTAGGAAGGCACTCAGAATGCGACTGGGGGAAAAAATGCCTCCTCAAAGTAGAGTTGACCATGATGACGTGAATAGAGTTAAGCTCGGGAGAGAAAAGCGAACAGAACCTTCATTTACTGATGGGCCACAACTCAAAATGAAGAGAAACAGCTGTAACATCATTAGACAGCATAAGAGACGACTATACACGTTGGCCTCACTAAATGGAATACATAGAAATCAAACTGATTTGATTTGAAATCAACTTGATTTGAAATGTGTGGAAAGATATGATGGAAAAGCTGTATATCATCAGTCAAAACAAGGATAGGGCAGACTGTGGAATGGACCATCAATTACTCATATGCAAATTCAAACTGAAGCTGAAGAAAATGAAAACAAGTCTATGAGAGCCAAAATATGACCTTGAATTTATCCCACCTGAATTTAGAGATCATCTGAAGAACAGATTTGATGAATTAAACACTAAAGACCGAAGAC